AAGTAGAAATAGATGAATTGTATGTATGATCGAATAAATTACCAACAAACCGTTGATATAACCATTCCAACCACCACGAAATCTATGAAAACCATAAAAAGGCTCATTTTCAGAATTCCGACTAGTCCGTGACCATACACTAATCCCCATGCAATCGCGGATACTTTAGGATAGGAAGTTTAATTGATGATTACTAAGAGGTCAAAGCTCTCACTCGACAACCGATTGGTTTACAAAACAAAACTTGCCACCCAGAAAGAAAGATAAGATCACGACAAATGCTGGATCGTCTCTGGCCCATTGATTCTTGGTTTCTATATACCGGATTCGAAATTGTGAGCATATTTTGTGCCAAAAGCTGAAAGGCGAAGATGAAAATTCTTACGTTTATGATAATAAATATTACGATATCTGTTGATTTATGAGATAATCTTACTATTAATTCACAATCTTATGAATTCAACAAATATTTGCAAAGTTTCTACCCACACTCTTCTTGGTGCTATACATAGATAAAGCATTTGCCAGAAGGCAAGCTCAAAATCCTGTAGATTTTGTTTGGTATTTAAGACAAATACTCATCAGGTGCAACAAACGACTAACTTCGTACCATCTGCGGAAAACGGAACAACCGTCGTAAAAATATTGGAATCGATGCTGTCCAATATTTCGGTCGCCTTTGTTTGTGTAGCATTTCCTCGTGGAAAGACGAGCGCGGTGCTGTCGTCGGTAGAATCGGCATATTTTCGTTATATCAACTATCTTTCGATCCAAAAAATTTTATAAATGCAAACTCAGATTCGTGTAACGTTGACGCTATAAATAGTAACATGCCAAATAAATTGTCCCCCAGTATTTTTAAAATAGTCTTTTCTTGAAAAATATTTGGTGCGATTGTAGGAAAATTTTCTCATTGATGTTAGTGGAAACCAATCAAAATATTATTTTTTTAAAATTAATTAATATAATTAAATTTTTCTGATTAAATTATATATATTTCTATTTAAATTTATTAAATTTTTTATATTTAAAATTTTAAATTAAAAGTTTATTTATATTATAATTATATAAAATAATAAAGATTAAAAATTTTTTTATATGAAAATATATTCAAGTTCAAGTTATTAATCAATTATTAAAATTTAACAATTTAATTAAACTTATTTAAATTATATATGGATTTTAATAAATTAATTTGAATTAAAAAAACTTTTTTAAAATTAATTTATTATAAGTAAATACTATTGTTAAGGTTATAAAAAAAATTTAAAATATTTGTATTATATATAATTTATAATTTAAAATATCAATAACACAATTTTATTTCTTATTTTAATAAAAAAAATTATTATAAATTAATAAATTAAATTTAACAAGAAATAAAATTATTATATAATATAATTAATTATATACTATATATACAATGATATAAATTATTTTTACTATTGATTAATTTAATTTTTAATAATAACTTAATTAATTATACCAAATAATTACATATATAATTGTATCAAGAATTTATAAACTTTAATAATATATGTTATAACTATTATACATATTTTTTATATTTAATATTATTTTTAAAAATTTAAGAAAATCAAAATATCTATTTATTGTTTTTTAAAAAATAAAAACAAAACTATTATTACTTGTTATTAAGTTATTATAACTTCTTAAATATTTCAAAACTTTAATCTTTATACAATATAATAATTTTATAATTTGTAAAAAAGTTAATATTTAACTTTATTGACATTATATTATTATATTATTACTTTTCATTTAAGATATGTTTATACATCTAGTAAAGTAATAATGTTTACCTACAAAAAAAATTTATTTACGGCATTTATTTTTTTGCAATAAAAAAAACCATAAAACATTGTATTTAAAATATTCCCATATTTGTAATTTTCGATAATTAAGGCTGCGATTTCCCAGGCTCTACAAGTATAATAACAATAAGGTTTATCATATTTATGTAAATTGAACTTTACGGGACACGTCTATATCATACCTACGTAATTGTGGCGAATAAACTAACGTCGATAAAATTAGATTACATTTATAAAACCAATTGCAATTTGCAATTTCCAAAACTTAATTCTTTTCACTAGATTGTAATACTCCAAATCTATTTTTTTCTCAAGTTCACGCTAAACATTAAAGATCGCGAACTCATTGACAACCTTAATTATGTTTCCACCATTTTGCTACACCAGCTTCTAGTCGGAATACCTGCGACATGGATTCAATTCAGGAGCAAATACGAAGAGAAGTTAAAGCCTACCGAAACTCGGCTCAACCGTTCAGCATCAATGATTTCTGTTTTGATGAAAGAAACAACCGTGCGTATTTTCTGGCAACTGACCCTTCTTGGATGAAGACCTCTACTTTGTATTACGTGGACCTCGATAAAATAGAGGGGAATGGCAACCCTCAGGTCGTAAAAAATGGTTCAACGGATGTTCAATGTCCTGATCTCCCGTTTAGCTTTGCCAATGACGAATTCCACGCGAAAGGTATGTCGCGAAAATCTAATTACGCTTCACATAAGGGGGATTAATTTTAAGTGATGATAAATGTTATAAAAATATACTTTTTCTAATTAGATATATTTGTGATATTTGGATAATCACGAGTTTTGGTTATAATTAATGTTGATAATAAATCAATAGTTTTCTTAGAAGTAGTAAAGACTGATCATAAGGAAAAAATCGACATAATCATGTGGCTTTTTCTTCTTTTTTGTAGAGTTTCCTTTTACTTTTAGTTCGTCGACCTCCCATGTCCTATCGCCTCCTTCAACATCTACCAAATCCTTCTATTCTAACAATTTTCTTTTGTTAGATTTTTCTTCGATATCAAATGCAACGGATTT